ATGTTGTCAAAATTAAGCCTGACACAAGTAAGTCAAAACAAGTTTAAATTTAAAAATTTAATGTAAAATAATGTTCAAAATCATGTATAATTTTAAAAATTGGTTATAAAAAATTGAATGCTTGAGTAAAATGAGTTAAATTTACAATATACTTGTGTTAAGTTTCAAACCCAGGGGACTAGAGAGCTTGCTAAGCAGTTAAGATCACTGCTGCCCTTCCAAAGGACCTGGGTTCAATTCCCAACACTCACATAGCAGCTCACACCTATCTGTAACTCAGTTCCAGGGAATCTGACACCCTTGCACCAATGCAATTAAAATTTAAATAAATTATTACTTTAAAAGTTTTAAAACCAGGACAAATGGCTGAGGTGCCTATTTAACATATCAAAGCAGACCTGGCCTCCAAGTTTTCCCATACCCCTCAGTGCTACCTATTACAGGCTATGGCTGACATATCCTGCCCTCTACTCCTGAACTCTCCAACCTAGAGGCTAGGCTGCCCTTCCCCAGAGGCTCTTTCCTATACTATCTAGACATTTTGGTTACCTGCCCCTTTTGTACCTTTAGCCTCCTGGTTGCTACACCAGGTTCCCCTCTCTCACTTTTCCCCTCATAGCCTATTTCAGTCTGGTCATGTCTACTCTGGACTTTCTCAGATGTCCCTGTCTCTGACTCTGGCTATGCTCTCTCCCTTTTCTCTATAATAAACTTTCTCCTTCACCATACCTAGGAGCAGCCATGTCCTTTCTTTTCCTTTTTATTTCTTCTTTTCATTCAACTTGCATGGCAGATTTCCCAGGCTCAAGTAATTCCTTGTAGGCCCATATTTCTATATGGTGTGGCAGCCAGGCCCAAAAGCCATAGGCCCCATCTGAGGCGGTCACGTAGCCCTGCAGACATGCTGTCTCTGTCTAACAAAAAGTCAGGATGTTGTTGCTCCTTTCTTTGTAATTTGGAGGATGCCTTATAGAGATGCTGATTCAAGCCTACGTGACAGCTAGCATACACAGCAGACAGGTAGATGCGGACATGACAAACCACCATTCACCTGGTTACCTAGGGGACAGGTATTTTCCTGCTCAGTTTATGTGTTGGTTTAAAAGCTGTTTGGATAATAAACACGGGGAGATCTTCAGGAGGAAGAAGCCTGAGATGCCCTTCCATAATGACCGTGTAAGCTGTGTCTGATTATTCCTCACAACTCCGTACCAGTCCAGTTAGGGAAAATAGTTATCTGTGTTGGGGCCCACGGACTCTAACAGTTCCCTTGGATAAAGGACAAGTTTCTCTGGATGGAGAAGCATCCCACTAGATTTAGTTGCAGGTTAGCCTCCTTACATGATGCACAGGAAATAAGACCTGCCTGAAGTCGGGGCTTCTGCCTCTGACTGCCTGACCAGCTCCAATTGCAAGGTCTGACCATCTCTGGCTTTAAAGGCCAAACAATCAAAACAAACATCCTCCTTATGTAAAGATAAATTACTCCTATGTCTCATATGACAAGAGGAATGGATTCTCTTGCCTAATAGAGGATCTCAGAGTCTACACCCATATCCTAAATATCTCAGAGAGGCAAAAAGCAACTATTCTGCCATCAATGTCTTCTGAACTGACATATGAGAATGCTGTGAACAGGGGAACCTTATACGTAAGCCTGACTGATATATGACCTGCATACTAGTTCAATTAGTCATGCCCTTTACCCTGTCATTCAATTCTTCCTCTCAGCCAAAACAAATCCAGGGTCTACTCCCTAACCATCCATGTTCCCTCATTAAAGGAGGATGTCAGATACTCTATCATTAAACTTACAGCTTTGGAAAGTTATTCAGAATATCCAAGCAATGTCTTTTAGAGTTGGTTTTGTATCTGTAGAGTCAACAAAAGATTCTATTGATATCCCAAGCCTTCGTGTTCTTTACGAGATGACTTGGAGATTCTCTCCAACCTGAGCTCACCTGTAGTGATCAAGACTATAATCTACTTTTTACCCAGACAGCACTCCAGGACCAATGCCTGAACTCTTACCTTAAAGCCTACAAGAAGTACACAGGCTTTAGTAGTGATGTCTGTGGATGCTTTCTAAGACATTCCAAAAACCAATATTTATTAAAGCTCGTTTAATTTGGTTATCTTGCTTTATAAATTATAACTCTAAACAATCAATTTTTAAATAGAATGATGTTAAGAAATATGCTTACTACTGATGGTATGTGGTGACCAATTTGTCCATTTGCAGGAGTAAAGAGTTAGCTTTAGCCTTCTTTATTAATTCAATCTATGATGTATATTACTTAATACAAATTTGACATGAAAGCCTGGTGGTGGTAGCACACACCTTTAATCCCAGCACTCTGAAGGCAGAAGCAGATGGATCTCTAGGTTCGAGGTCAGCCCGGTCTAGAGTGAGTTCCAGGACAGTCAGAGTTACAAAGCAAAACCCTGTCTCAGGAAAACAAAAACAAATTTAACATGACTGCTTCCATCTTTCAACTGCTAGTTGAGTGCTTAAAATGAAAATGTAAAGATTTTTAAAAGGTACTTTTAAATAGGGTTAATTTTAGAAAATTTTGTAAAGCGAATCATTTATTCTTGATAAAGCAGACACTATCTCTAGAAGTATACTTTTTAAACTGAAAATTAAAAATAATTTCTTTTTTGGGAAGTACAACTACAATTACATTGTCTCTTGGAATATAACAATTTGATGTTAACAAAAATGTATTGTCATGTTTTCAAATAGTAGATATGGTCATTTAAAGTAATAATCCCAAATTTAAAAAAATTTTAACCTTATCAGATTGTTTCTAACCAAAAAATTTTGTTTTACTTAAGATGTTTTTGTTTATTAACTAGTACTGTTAATATTTAAGAGTATATCATATGTAAAAGCAAAGAATATCTTTTAGATACTTTCTGTTCAGATTCATTCCTTGAATGCTGCTAGGTTTAATTGACTTCTTTTACAAATGCTTCCAGGTGCTTGTTACTTAGGCAGAAGTCTGACGTAAACACACAGCTAATTAGCTACCCTACTACCTACAGAATTCTGGTGCATGGTCCAGCCAGTTCTTTTTTTGTTTTGTTTTGTAGACAGGGTTGGCCTGGCCTGGCCTGGCCTGGCCTGGAAGTAGCTCTTGGAGACCATGCTGGCCTCAAACTCACAGAGAGTTCTTGTAGACCATGCTTGCCTCTGTCTCCCGAGTGCTGGGATTAAATGTGTGCACCACAGCCGCCTGGCCCGGCCAGTTCTACTAACTGCATTTAACTCATGCTAATCTTGACGGAAAAGTTTTCCTCGTGTAACTTTGTGTCTCCACAAAGTTGTACATGACTTATGCTCTGGATCTTTACCAACTGTTAACTTTCATCATGGCCCTTGAGGGACCCTCTTTTGAAGCACTCTTAACTGCTGCTCCCATCACTCTTCCATCAGCCTTGAAGCAGTTACTGAAATGTTCCCAAACCCTTAAAAGCAATTTGGGTGACCTCTAAAAGGGGACTAATGGGCCATCCAACTCATCCTTTTTCTTGCCACTCTGGATACTGTTTTGGGGACTCAGAACTAAAACAGCTGGACGGAAGCCTTCTTTGCATCAATTACTCCTCTCACCAGCTCAGATCAGCTTAACATCTTTCAGGACCAGCTCAACTCCTTGACTGCTGCAGTACTCCACAATTAAAAAGGACCAGATATAACTCCTGGGATGGGATTTGTGCTCTCCTCCATGAACATGCTGCTTCAAAACCAACACATCCTAACTGGTTTGAAATGAAGCCTACAGACAGGGACCAGATTTCAACCACAAGCCTCCTATGTATGGGCTCTAGTTCTCTCCCATTTTGGTTCATCCTCTTGCTCACTCCTTTCCTCATTATCCTCAAACTTACATTTTTACTCGGTCTTTTAAATGTTTTACTTACTGAACTACATCCTCCACCTGTTGTAGAGTATTATTTTAAGGTGTGTTACATTTGTTTATGCTCTGGAACATTTGTTTAACAATGTAAAGATGTGTTGCTTTTGTTTATGCTGCATTTGTTTAACTCTAGGAAGCTGTGATTCTTTGCCTGTCTGAAACAGCTGATGATCTAATAAAGAGCTGAACAGCCAATAGCAAGGCAGGAGAAAGGATAGACGGGGCTGACTGGCAGAGAGTATAAATAGAAAGAAAACTCTGGAAAAAAGGAGGAGCAAGAAAGCAAGAGAGTAGGATGTCAGGGGCCAGCCACCTACCAAGTAAGAAAAGGAAAAGCCCAGAGCCAAAAGGTAGGTGGGGTAATTTATGATAAGAAAAACTGGCTAGAAACAAGTCAAGCAGGCCAGGCTGTGGTGGAGCAAGCCTTTAATCCCAGCACGCAGGAGGCAGGGGCAGGCGGAACTCTTAGTTTGAGGCCAGCCTGGTCTACAGAGCTAGTTCCAGGACAACTAGGGCTGTTATGCAGGGAAACCCTGTCTTGAAAAAACGGGGGGGGGGGGGGGGACACGGGACGGGACAGGAGGGTCGGGACAAGTTGAGCTAAGGCCAGTCATTTCTAAGTAATAAGACTTTGTGTGTATTTATTTGGGAGCTTGGGTGGGTTTTTTTTAAAAAAAACTATCCAAACAAAATGTTCCACCCAAGTTTTCCCAATAGCTTGCACCCCTAAACTGTTCTTTGTGTTTTTAATACACCAGCAAAAAGATCTTGTAGATGCTATAGGGAAACTCTAGCTGAAGGGGTCCTTCATCCCTTTTACCTCAGGCCAGATGCAATTCTTTGATTAGTCCTCTATTTTCTCCTGATCCCTTCCTTTAAGGCTCTGTAGCTCCGTACTACTTCCATAGCTCATCTGGCAATAGGAGCAGCCACTGTCATCCCGAGTCAACTCTGCCTACTTTCTCCCACCTCTGTTCCTCCCCATTCCTCAACCTTCATGGCAAATCTCATTTGTACACTGTAACCAAATCATCCGCTTATAGTTCTCTAATAATAACTTTCCAAATCTCTTCACAGACACATGATGGCACACTGCAACCGATCAAGTTAACCCCCGGCACATTACCAGAGGATCCCTTCTTCAATGGACTCAGATCTATTCCCCCTACTGACAAAGACCCTCCTCAGCAAAAAAACAGCTACAACACCCCTGCCAGACATTCTCAATATCTTCTGAGTTAGAAATGTTAGTTTCCCGCTGAAAGACTACATTTCTCAGTTTCCCTTGCAGACTATAGAAATCATTTCTGCCCATCCCATCTTCCTTTGTTGGTATCTTGGCCATCCATACACATGGGTGACAGTATTTCCTCACTGTGAATAAATATGGTCAGACTAAGCCTCTTAAAACATCCAGCACCTCCACAGCTGCCTAACATTGGTCATGATGTCTCTTAGCAAAAGAAAAGAAACTAAAACAGAAGTTGACACCAGGGCCTGGGATATTCCTGTGACAGGCCTGACCATGCTGCTTGTTGGAACAATGCGGACTCTGGGACTTTGAACTAAGAAAGTTGTTGACTGCTTTAAGCAGAGCTAAATGGAGCATCCTAATGGAAGAGTTGGAAGAAAGCAGTGCTGAGAGCAATGTAGAATATGGAGGCCCTGGCTCAAGAGGTTTCTGAAGGGACCAACATTAGCAACTTGGCTAGAAACTATTCTTGTAATATTTTGGCAAAGAAACATGGCTTCATTTTGCCATGTCTTAAGACTGCTGGAGGCTAAATTGATGTTTTTTGACTAATGGCAATGGCAGAGATTTCAAGACAGCCTAGTATTGGCTATGTCACATGGTTATTAGTGATGATTATGCAGATCTACAACAGAAAAGAGAAAATGGGAAAAAAAATGTAGTTTGAGGAGAAAAAGAATACCATGAAATTTTAATGTTGGAGTCAAATCCTGTGCTCAAAGAGATATGAAATTTAAGAAAGGGTTTAAGGAGAAATGGAATAAAGAAGTGGTGCCCTGTGGTAGTCTGAATGTAATCGGCCTCCATAATCTCATAGGGAGCAGCACAGTTAGGAGGTATGGCTTTGCTGGAATGGGTCTTGCTGGAGGAAGTGTGTCACTGTGGGGGTGGGCATTGAGGTTTCCTATGTTCAGGATACTGACCAGTGTCTCAGTCGACTTCCTGTTGCTTGCAAGCCAAGATGGAGCCAGTACCATGTCTGCCCCATATACTGCCACACCCCCAGACTAAAACCTTTGACACTGTAAGCAAGCAACCCAATTAAATGCTTTCTTTATAAGAGTTGTTGTGGTCATTATGTCTCTTCAAAGGAATAGAAACCCTAGCTAAAACATGCCCCCAGAAAAAGACCCCACCCAGCTAAGCTTCCAACATGTTATTCAACAAAGGAAAGCACCAAGTCAAAGCTTATACAAATATAATTCAAGGAGGGGGGCAAGTTCCAGCCTGGCAGCAGAACTTAGCAGCTTTAGTGAAGTGTTCTGGCTTCCTCAACAAAAATATAGAAGCTGTGGAAAGGAATGTCCTTCAAGGTTAAAGAATACTGCTGAGACCCAGAAAGGTCATTATATGAAAGTTATAAAAGTGAAGCTTGGATTATGTTGAAGACCACAAGATGTTGGAGATGCAAGAGCCATGAGATATCTTTTGCTAAGGAGAGCTGCACAGAGGACGTTGAACCAGCCCAAAAGACAGACATTTGTTGCAGTCAACAAAGCTGAAAAGAGTGGGAGATCTCAAGAACCCTGTGACATCAAACACTTTAGGATTTGGAGTTTGCCCTGCTAGATTTCAGTTTTTCTTTGGTCCAGTATTTCCTCACTATACTTACCCAACCCTCCCTTTTGTAAAGTATAGTCTGTGCCACTATATGTTGAAAATATATAATTTATAGATTTTAATTTTACAGGGAACTATAAGACACTGCCTTGAGTCTAAAAAGGCAATTTTGGGATTCTTTAGTGTTGAGGCTGTAAAGGACGATGGGCACTTTTGAAGTTAGACTCTAATACATTTTACATTATGCTATGGCTACAAGCCTATAGGGGCCAGGGAGTGGAATTTGATTATTTGAGTGAGAATGGCCTCCACGGGCACATATATTTGAATGTTTGGTTCCTAGTTTAGGGATTGTTTAGGAAGGAATCAGTGTGACCTTGTTGGAGGAAGTATGTCAGTGGAGGTAGGTTCTGGGGTTTCAAAAGTCTATGCCAGGCCCAGTCTGTGTCTGACCCTTGCTTGTGGATCAGATGTAAGCTCTCAGCTACTGTTCCAGCATCATACTTTCCTGCCTGCTGGTATTAACCCCAGCATGATGATCATGGACTAACACCATGAAACTGTAGCAAGCCACCAATTAAATGTTTTCTCTTACAAATTGCCTTGGTCATGGTGCCTCTTTCCAGCAATTAGAGTGTAGTAACTAAGACACTACCTAAGGCAGACTAATCCACTGACAAATGGAAGTACTTTCCCCTTATAACTAATCCACTGACAAATGGGAGTACTTTCCCCTTATATGCGCAGCCATCAAATCTTTAAGTACCCCTGTTTCTCCCAGTAATTTTCCCTTGTCTGATATTCTTGGTATCAACATATGAACATACCATTATCCTTTCCTCCAACCTTTTAAATCTTGTCCCACTAGAGAGATGGGCCAGTTAAGTGCTTATTGCTCTTAAGCAGTTTGGTCCCAGCACACCACATCAGGCTTCTTACAACTGCTTGTAAATCCAGCTCCAGGGAATCACATGCCCTTCTTTGGCCTCCATGTGCTCAGATGCGTAGATACATGTAAATAAAAATCTTTAAAAAAATTATCTTACAGGGAGCAAGCAGTAGTGGCACACACCTTTAATCCCAGTATCACAGAGGCAGATGGATCTCTGTGAGTTCAGGACAGCCTGATCTACAGAGCAAGTTTCAGGACAGTTAGAGCTACAAAGAAAAACCCATCTCAAAAAAAAAAAATCTTCTGATAAGATTAGTATCTGATAAAACAGATGTCAATATAAAGCAAGATGAGCTATAGAGGGGACAACAAAGATGATGAGATGTCCATGACTAGAGATGGAGGAGAAATATTTTATAATAGTTATAAACTCATGGATAGTCTACCAGTTTGTAGACTGCCTAACATGTGCAAGGCTCTGGCTTTGATTTCTAGTACCATAGAAACTGGACGTGGACTCACACACCTATACTCCCAACAATACACAAGTGTCAACCTAAGGATTATTAGAGTGCTGGTTCTCAACCTTCCTAATGCTGCAATCCTTTAATACAGTTACAATAGTACAGTTAATACCATAAAATTATTTTATAAATAATCTTTTTTAAAATTAACTTTATGTGCATTGATATGACTGTGAGATCCCCTGCAACTAGAGTTACAGACAGCTGTGAGCTGCCTTGTGTGTGCTGTAAATTGAACCTGGGGCCTCTGAAGTAGCAGTCAGTGCTCTTAACCACTGAGCCATCTCTCCAGCCCCACAAAATTATTTTTGTTGTTATTTCATAAATAAAATTTTGCTACTATTATGAATCACAATTTAAATATCTGCTATGCAGAGTATCTGATATTTGACCTTGTGAAAGGGTCATTCAACCTCCCCAAAGGGGCTGTGACCTACAGATTGAGAATCACTGGATTAGGAGATGTAGCTCAGCAATAGGAATACAAATTATCAAGAGATTAACATGTGGCTGGAGAGATGGCTCAGCAGCTAAGACACTGTGTTGATCTTGCAGAGGACCTAAGTAGCTTCCCAGCATCCACATGGTAGCTCACAACCATCTATTTCAGGAAATCGAACCTTCTCTTCTGATCTCCAAGGGCACCAGGCACACATGTAATGAATACTAGGGCTCTTTGGAGAAATGTTAATTCAGGACTATGAAGACCTGAACTTGGATGCTAAGGCCCTCAAAACAAGCCGTGTGGTCTCACATGTACCTGTGACCTCAGTGCTGTGGAAAATGGAGGCAGGAAGATAATTGGGCTTGCTGGCTGCCAGGCTAGCAGAAAAAAATGAGAGTTCCACACATAGAGATATACCCTGCCTCAAAGGAATGTTAGAGAGCAATGAGGGTAGAACATTCCATAAACATCCTCCATGTGCATCCATAGACACACATGTATATATGTACAAACATACAGGCTTCTGATCACACCCCACTACACATGATAGCAAAAGTATAATTAAACCAAAATCAATGTTGACAAGGATATGAAGAAATTAGAACTGTGTTCATTATTTGTAGTATTTAAAAGAATACAGTAGCTATGGAAAACAGTACGGCAGTTCCTTTAAAAATCACAAATACTGAAATAGAATGCACCTTTAAACCCAGCACTCTGAGTTCGAGGATAGCCTGGTCTACAGAGTTCCAGGACAGAAAAACCCTATCTCAAAAAACCAAAACCAAACAAAATACAACAAAACCAAAAAAAAGAAAAAGAAAAGATTAGCAACTTAGCAATTACTAAGTATTTCCTATATGCCAAGTGTATTTGCATTGAACTTCATAACTAAAGTTCCTAACTTTATAACTACATTTTAGAAAGGAGGAAACTAAGATATGGAAAGCAATGTAATATTCAAGATTCACAAACATTATTTTTTCTACTAAAGCACATGATTTTAGTAAACTTAGTTTTGCCACAAACTAATTTTGAAACATTTCCACTGTGCCCAAAAAGAAATTCTACGCCTACTGTCCCTACATTTAGCCTGGGCAATGATTCCTTACTGTTGGTCTTTATGGATGTCTTTTCTAAACATTTCATACAAATGGAATCATACACTCTGGTGACTTTTCCTGGCTTCTTTTACTTAGCATGTTCTCTACATTAGGCTTCTCCACATTGTAGCAGGAATCAGGATGTCATTCCTTTTTACTGTCAGATAGTATTCCATTAACTAGCTGTAGCACACTTTATATTACCAACTGTTTGATCTGAGTTGTTCACACCATTTGGCTATTGTAAATAATGCACCTACTGAGTACTCATGTGCTTTTAGATGAACAACATCTTCACTTCTCTTCAACAGACACTTCAGAGAACTGCTGGCTCATATACGTAATTTTTGTTTATTTGTTTTTTAAAGATCTACCAAACTAAAGTTATAATCTTATACTGACCACTAATGCATGATTTTTTTACACATCCTCACCAACACCTGTTATTGTCTATCACTTTCTTTTCTTCTTTTCTTTGTTTTTTTGAGACCAGGTTTCTCTGTGTCGTTTTGGTGTGTATCATTTTCGAAAGCAAGCAAGTATTTTTAAGAAGCTGAGACTACATGTACCTGTGACTTTGCCACAGTATCTTTACCATGTGCTAAACTGCCATCTTCCGCCTACCCATTTCCACAGTGAAACTCGAGACTGCCGAAAATCTCAATTTCACAAACGCATGAAATTCCAGTTAAATCATTATTAACATAAAACTTTATTTCAAATTTAAAAGGCTATGTTATATACACACTCAGTTGCACACATGAAGGCATTCTGAAATGACTTACGTACCTAACTTCAGTTCAATCGCTGTGTTGGTATTACATTTGTACTCAGCCAACTTCTTCTCCACCGCACTCTTATACTCTACCAGAAATTTCTCCATGGCACCAAATCCTAGAAGAGGTGTTGAAAGGTTGGTTGAAAGTGACTTAAATACCTACAAGCAGGATTTTTATCTGAAGTGGTCTAAGGATGAGCTGGGAAACCGGCTACAACAGTACAGATCACTCTCCATGAACCTTTCAACAAATATACTGCGTATGAACCACATAAAACAGAAAGAAAACAAGACTACCTTTACGTCAGACCTGTAATCCCGTCATGCAGGAGGCTACGACAGGATTGAGCAGGAGGCCAGCGTAACCTGCATCATGATTACAAAACCTATGTCGAGTAATCTCTGCTGTAGAAACTACCTGTAAGCATGTACTGCATCCGCCCCATTTCTCATTCAGTAACTCAGGCCAAGGAAGGGGTTTAATTGGTGGGCACCAGACTAGGCAGTGGTGGGGCTCAAATTTGAATTTTGACGTAATTCTCATTATACAGCAACTCTTCTTTGGTCCCAGGGTACCCCAATACCATACTGGACAACTTCATCCAGGGGAACAATTCTGTCTTAAACACGTGCAAATTTCAAACTCCACAGTTTACTAATACAGCCTAACTATAAAAGAGGGGTGTTTAACAATGGAGTGACACAGTGTGAAGGCGCCGGGAAGAAAATGACAAAAATCTACCCGTCACTTCAAAAAATAGGTAACTGTAAAAAAGAAACGCCATCAAAACACTTCAATGGCAATTCAAACTTTTTGTTTGTTTGTTTTAAATTTATTTTTATCTTATGTGCATTGGTGTTTTGCCTGCTTGTATGTCTGTGTGACGGTGTTGGGTCCCCTAGAACTGAAGTTACAGACAGTTCTAAGTTGCCATGTGGGTGCTGGGAATTGAACCTGGGTCCTCTGGTAGAACACTCAGTGCTCTTTATCACTGAGCCATCTTTCCAGCCCCGTTTGTTTGTTTTATAAAGACAAGGGTTTCACTGTGTAGCCCTGGCTGTCCTGAAATTCACTCTGGGGGACCAGACTGGCCTCAAACTCACAGAGATCCTCCTGCCTCTGCCTCCTGGGTGCTGGGATCAAAGGCGTGCGCCACCAAGGCCTGGCAACTTAAAACATTCTTAAACCCTGAAGACTGGAAGACTCAAGTGAATGAACCAGAATAAGACAATTCCACTACATACAGTACGGAAGTCCCACTCGCAAAGAGAAGTCTGGCAGCGCAGAAACGTCTTTCTCACAGGATATCCAGAAATGACCTCAGGGATCCTAAAGGGTGGAAGACCCAGACTGTGCCCACAGTGCAGCACTGCGATCGCCCAGAAGCTGACCCTGGAGGAGGTGGGCAGGGCCCTGGGAGGATCAGCTGGCGGGAGCGGGACAGCAGTGGGCAAAGTGGAACGGAGCAAAACAGGCCCCGAGGAGGCCAGCGCTCCGCCCCGGGTTCGCCGACTCTCGAGCAGGGCCCTTCGGGCCACGGAAGGCGCGGAGAGCAAGCACTGGGGGCGGCGGCGCCGAGCGCGGCCCACCGAGGGTCAGCCTCGGACGCTCGGTGCCCCGCGACACGGAGAGGCCTTCTAGAACCCCGGCGAAAGCGCGAAAGTTCCAGGCGGCCGCTGTCACAGTCGCCTAGGCGTTCTTCCCCAGAACCGCCCGCGGCCTCCCCCGGCTAAACTTTTCCCGGGAACTTACCCGCCATTTCCGAGCAGTGAGCGCCCGCGGCTGAGGAAGGACAAATCAACCCGCGCGCTCCCGGGCCGGAAGTGACCGCAGT